GTGTGTGTGTGTGTGTGTGTGTGTGTGTGTGTGTGTGTACCTGGCAGACGCAGCCTTCAGATCTGTGAAGTGGGAGTGAAGGATTCGGATGCTGTCGTAACACACCACATTGACGAGGTTGATGTCAGCCAGTCTGGACCTGAGCTGCCCGATCATCTGCCACCAGTCTTCCAGCAGCATGGAGTACAGCTGGCCTTCATCACGACTCAGAGACATGTACCAGGACAGGATGTAGTCTCTGTAGGCAAAGTCAAACACTGCAGAGAGGAGGAGGAGGTGAAACAGTTGGTTTGAACATGACACCAACAGAAACATGAAGACATAGTAACAAATATCATTAACTTTAAGGGTTTTAAATTAAACACCCAGTTGTAGACAGAGACTCTCTTATGTTTAGAAAACTTGTGTGTTGGGAATGTTATCAGCAACTACCACTTTAAATGTCAGCTCAAACTGACAGGCTGTGAATTAGCTTGGTTTTAAAAGTAATTCAGCTTCACTAAATCTGTGAAATGAGATATTTTACTAACAGACAGCTGAAAAAAGCCACTGAGCAGACAATTATTGAAGATTTGTTTGTCTTATTAAAGCACAGAAAATGGTTGCTCCCTTTGATTGAAGGTAACCAAGCTGAACCATCAGGTTTTGTTTGCTCAGAGGTCAGGTGTAGCAGACGGGAGAGAAAACAAACAGGTTCATCACAGTGATGACTCAGAGAGACAAAAACAACACAAGCTCACACACTGGGAGCAGGAAACCTGACAAACTAAACTGTTCAAACACACACACACACACACACACACACACAGATCGTCACATCTTAATGAGACAGAGAACAAAAAGGTTATAATCTGAATATCATTAGCAACTCCTCCTAATTTTACAGTTTAATACAGATTGTAAAATAAACTGTCCTAATATTGCTCCTGCTGCCTGCTGTGGGTGAACCTGCTCTCATTGAACCAGAAGGTCAGACAAATTTATTTAAAGATGTGGATCAAATTATTTGTTTGAAAACTAAATATGATCAGAATGAGCTTGTTTGTTTGTTTGTTTGTTTGTTTCTTTCTTTCTTGCAAATTCCTAGTTTTCCATTTAGAGATTGACACTTTTTATTACAAAAAAAACACAGTTGTTGTAAACAGGTGGTCTGGATGGATGGATGGATGGATGGATGGATGGATGGATGGATGGATGGATGGATGGATGGATGGATGGATGGATTGATCGATTGATGGAAACGGGTGATCTGGATGGATGGATGGATGGATGGATGGATGATGGATGTATGATGGATGGATGGATGATGGATGTATGATGGATGATGGATGATGGATGTATGATGGATGGATGGATGGATGATGTATGGATGATGGATGGATGGATGATGGATGTATGATGGATGGATGGATGATGGATGATGGATGGATGATGGATGGATGGATGATGGATGGATGATGGATGGATGGATGATGGATGATGGATGAATGATGGATGGATGGATGATGGATGGATGATGGATGGATGGATGATGGATGGATGG